GGGGGGGGGTTAGAAGAAATAACAAACGAAAGCAAAATGCTTCTCAGGGGAACCCAAAGGCGGGTGTGATAATCCAGCTTGGCGGTGAGCCCCTAGCTGGAGGACAGCCGCCTGGCCTGAATCTACCTCCCTGCAGATAGAAACTACAGGTTGCACCTGAAGGACCCGCGCTGCCACCTACCTGCCCGAGACCTGCATACAAGACCTGCGGGCAAGGGGTCCTGCGGGCAAGGGCGGTCCTGCGGGCGCGCGGCCGACAGTCGCTGCCACGCGGGAGGTAAAAGGCAGGGCCGTACTCAATTTGGCAGAGTTTAGGTAGGCCCAGCTCGCACGACTGCAGCGAACAGCTCTCCGAATCTGCGCTGGTACCGCTACTCGCTGAACCGAATCGCCCTCGGGGCAAAAACAACCCCAAGGCCCCACCTACTCCTCGTGCTTCCTACGTAAGGGGGTTCTCCAACCAATCAGAAGAGCAAAGGGAGGAGCAAGACCGCCCCCCGTGACAGGCGACGACAGAGACCTCCCGCCGGCGCGAGCGGGTTATGCAGTTGCTGAGCCAATCAGCAGCGTAGGGGGAGAATGAAGGGGAGGGAAAGCGAGTATCCAATCAGATCTTAGGACACTCGAGCGACGGCTTCTGCGGCCTGTGGCCTTCCGAGTGAGGCGCTCAGGGGGCGTGCCTTCCTGGGCCAATCGGTGTGAGCCCACTGTGCGGAGCGAGCGCCTCAAATGCTCGGGTTTCTCAGCTGATTGTCTCCAGCCGAGAGTTGTTTTTTGCAGCTACGGAGTCGAGCCGCAGCAGGAGGAGCCGAGACCCCCGGGGGGGCGGGGAACAGGAGGCGGGGTCGGGGGAGCCGCGGCTGTTCTTCGCGGGGCTCGGTGTTCTGTCACGGCTCTTCCTGGGGTTAGAGGCTGGGGTGGGTGGGGGGTACGGGGGAAATCCTTCTACTCCTCGACGGCCACTCAGAGTCCGGCCCCTTCCTTCCCGCTCTCCCTTGCCCGCCCACCAGTCCTCTCATGAGGGTGCCCGTGCCGGGTCCCGCGGCCGCCGCCGCCCCCGCTGCCGGCCGCGAGCCCTCGACGCCCGGCGGAGGCGCTGAGGGCGGAGGCGCCGTCGCTGCCGCCTCAGGCACCGCGGTGCCCGGCTCGGTGCAGTTGGCGCTGAGCGTCCTGCACGCCCTGCTCTACGCCGCCCTCTTCGCCTTTGCCTACCTGCAGCTGTGGCGGCTGCTCCTGTATCGCGAGCGGCGGCTGAGTTACCAGAGTCTCTGCCTCTTCCTCTGTCTCCTGTGGGCAGCACTCAGGACCACCCTCTTCTCTGCCGCCTTCTCCCTCAGCGGCTCCCTGCCCCTGCTCCGGCCGCCCGCTCACCTGCACTTCTTCCCGCACTGGCTGCTCTACTGCTTCCCCTCCTGTCTCCAGTTCTCCACACTCTGTCTCCTCAACCTCTACCTGGCGGAGGTAAGGCGGGAGGACCGGCATGCTGGGCCCGGGGCGGGTCGGGGGCGCCTCGGACTGAGCGAGGGGGGACAGTGGGAGGCGCACTCGAGACTAGCCTGGAGAAACTGAGGCACTCTTGGAGTGTGCACCCATGTTCACGCCCTAAACTTAAGCAGCTGATTAACTCGGTTATTGAGGTGGGGGGCTGGGAGGTGAGTGAGTGACAGTGTATGTGTTCTGACAACTTAAAACAGCAAAACAACCCTTTGTTCAGTGTTCTGGTCCTCCTAAGGTAAGGCGTTGGTGACACCAACAAAGTGGCATGCAAGAAGTAGCAGCCCCGGTAGCTCTGCCGAAGCTGGACTGTGTTGAGGGAGATTGGATGCTGAGGTAGCAGCAGCCCTGCCGAAGCTGGACTGCTGCCAGCCATTACGTCACCAGGCAGAGCTGTGCCTCTGCTATTGTTGCTGCGTTTCTTTTATTAGAAGCTTATATTCCCTCCTGCATCTCCTTTTCTGTGGCTTGATAAGCCTCACACAAATGCCGTTCAATAGTTCCCCAACAGGGTTAAAAATCAATAACCAATGCCGAGGGTCAGTATAAGGACCTCCATAAAGCCCTTCATTTTTGTCCCACTTGCTTCATGCTTTGGCAATTTATCCTACCTTTTACAGTCTAGTCTTTAGGAGCTAGTTAATAGAGAAAATACTAGCTTAACCTGTACCTATTGCAGAAACAAACCACCAAACTGTTTTTGAAATAACTTGTTTAATAGCTGGAACCTAATAACACCGCCTTTCTCTTTTATGGGAGATTGTGTTATTCCACACCGCTGAAGTATTTGACTCATTTCAAACAGGTTTAGGAGTGTAAAGTTGCCAGTCATGTGTGTCAGCTAAGTGGTAGTTAAGCGGTGGTTAAGCGTTCAGTTGCTAACCAAAAAGCCGGCTGTTGGTGGTACCCACCAGCCGCTTAGCGGTAGAAAGATATGGCAGTCTGCTTAGGTAGAGATTTACAGCCTTGGAAACACCGTGGGGCGGTTCTGCTCTGTCCTATAGTGTCTCTATGAGTCAGAATCCACTCAACGGCAACGGTTTGGTTTTTGGTTTTGGTATTTTGAGAATTGACAAACACAAAAAGTCTCTCTCCTCCCTAAAAAATAAGAAGGGGAGGAAAGGAGGTGGCATCATAAGCTTAATGCTGTTGACTACTGGAAAACAATATTGGTCTGTGCAGCTAATCCTTCCAAAGGCTTTTGGAGGTGATGAGAATTAACACAGTCCTGAGCAAAAGTTTAAAAAAAAAAAAAAAAGATACAAATTTAGTGTTCATATTTCTCACACAAACCAACTCTTCTTCCTTAAAAGATAGGAAGTAGAATGCATAATTTTGAAATTACACAGGTATAACTTCCACTGGGTAGCACACTAAAAACAACAGTTGAAAATAAGTAACAAAACTAACTTGTTTTTTTTTCTTCTCCATCCTTTGGCAGTCCCAGCAATGCAATGACAAAAACACAAACTGTAAGAAGCAGTAATAAAAAGGCATGAGTAATCATAAATAGTCATGACATAGTCATATAACTGATTTGACTATCTTCTGATCTTCTACTTGCTGTTTAAGCAGTTATAACACTTATACCCTTTACAGTTAAACTGTTGCATTATGCTTTTCCTGCCACCATTACTGGTAGAAGAATTGACCAGGGAGCTTTACTCTAGCTTTTCCAGTAAACCAGTTGCTATAGAGTCGGCTTCAACCTTTGCCAATCTCATCTGTGTCAGAATAGAACTTTGCTCAGTAGTGTGTTCGTTGCCTGATTTTTCTGAAGTAGATCGCTAGGCCTTTCTTCCCAGGTGCCTCTGGGTGGACTCAGACACAGTAGTTGGATTGTTGTTGTTGTTGTTGTTATGTGCCGTCGAGTCGGCCCCGACTCATAGTGACCCATAGCGACCCCTCCTTGGGTTTCCGAGGCAGTATCACTATGGAAGTAGGATTGCCCAACCTTCCTTCCGAGGAGTGGCTGGTGGGTTTGAACCGCCAGCCGTCTGGTTAGCAGGCAAGTGTCTTAGCCACTATGCTACCAGAGCTCCCAGTAGTTGGATTAGCAGCTCATTAACCATTTGCACCACCCAGAGACTCCACTCTAGCTTTACATATAATTAATTTGCCAGTAAGTAACTGACAGTCCTTATGCCTTGAGCATCAGATAACCTTTTTTTTCCTCTTTACAGTGTGACATAAAATCATAGTGGTGGTTCACTGTAAAATGTTGGTAGGCATTTTCTAAAGTGGCTTAATACTCTTTTTTACTTTTTTATTGTGGTGGTGTTGGTGTTGTTATGTGCCGTCAAGTTGGACCCGACTCATAGCGACCCCTCCTTGGGTTGCCGAGGCAGTATCACTACGGAAGTAGATTGCCCCATCTCCTTCCGAGGAGCGGCTGGTGGGTTTGAACCGCCAGCCTTCTGGTTAGCAGTCAAGTGCCTTAGGCACTATGCTACCAGAGCGCCACAAGCACATTACAATGGGGGGGGGGCGGGAAGCAGTTGATATTTAAGCTCAGAATTCTAAAAGTGTATTATTACAGTATAAAATACAGAGTATTTAGATCATATTTTGAGACTTTTGAATGCTAATATTCCAAGCTGTTGAGGAATTTAAATGTCTAAAAGTCTGCCTGTTAAATGTTTCGTTTGTGGGGTAGTGTAGTGCCTAAAGCATGTGACTGCTAACCAGAGCTGGTGGTTCAAACCCACCAACCACTCTTCCGAAGAAAGATTGGGCAATCTACTTCCATAGTGTTACCACCTCGGAAACCCAAGGAGAGGTTGCTATGAGTCAGATCAACTCGACGGCAGTGCGTTGCATTCTGTTGCGTTGGTGTACTTAGGCAATAAAACTGTTAACTTAGAAAATATAATTGGAAAGAAGACCTTTTTCTTTTGCAGTATCTCTTTAAAAGGATATAAGTTTATATTTTTATAATCAAACTAATAATTTTAAGACACATGACTAAGAAAACTTTTCAGTTTCCCTGAGGACCTGTTTAAAAAGAGAGCCTAAACCAGAAATCATTTCCCTTTTCATTAGAGAATATCCAGAGAAGCTTGTATTTAAGACAATATTTGTATTCAAGTTTTTATGTCAGTTCCAGGTGGCTAGAACTATACTTCCCATTGAGCATTCTAAATAAATGAAACTTTTCCCAGTGAGTTCTTCCTGTTAGAGCAAAGTGGTAGGAAAAGTTTATAAATGCAAACATGAAACAACTGATTTAAGATTTTTTTGTTGTTGTTAACCAAAGGCCCTATATCTTTGTTGAGGAGTTGTGTTTATTTGATTACTAATCACTGCCTCTACTGTCATGTTAAATACCAGTTGCATTTTACTTTTAATTTGTTTAAAGCATTTATTGTATCTATTTCTCACTAATAGAAAACATTCTAACTTTAAGAACTTAGTTTTAAAGAACCAGGGATCTGTATAGAAATAAAGTTAGTTTAAAAAAAATAATACTTTGAACACATTTTTGTAGGTCTTCTAAAACTCCTAAGTTTTCAAAAAGATAAGACTGTCTAAACGGCTTTTATTCTTGGTGAGTACACTTGACTGGAATTGTGATAAGGGGAAATAGCCCTTTCTGAAACAGTTAGTCTGTTCAACTTACACTTAGCCTCCTGGAAGCAGAAAGTTTTTTTTGAAGTGGAAAAAAAAAAAGTGTACACTAATCCAAAAACAACTATTGAACTTTTTCTGGTAGGATCAGAAGAACATGTACCTTTACCAGAGAAGACTTGGAACTCTTTAAAACAATTATCTGATAAAACTGATGCTGTCCACCATTAACACATTTAACAATACTTAAAATATGAGTTGGTAGTATGGATACTATCTTTGGAGTGTTGTGATGCATGCCAAAATCAGTTAATTCATTTTTGAGATTTATATTGACATTTTTTCTTGTAATTCTGTAACATGAGTGCCAGTTGCTTAATTAGGATAAAATACAGTGACTTAAATCACAATGACAATAGAGCCGGGAAAAAAATCTTAACTCTTACGTCCATGGATGCTATCATTGTCTCAGCCAATGAATACATACTTCCAAATATTTATGGCACTTCAGAAAACATGCAGTTCAATTTATAGGAACACTGGTTTTGTTATGTTCAAAAGTATTCCATTTTACTTTTGATGCAGAAGAAAAGCAAAACAAAAACTTCCAAAGTGGGGGAGATGAAACTGTGGGTTGTTGAATGGAGTAGAATTCCTCTAGAATAAAGTAGCAAATTGAAAAAAAAAAATACAAAGTTAAAAACAAACTATTTCAGTCAATGTGATAAATTTAACACTCTGACATAAAGAAAATTTGTCATACTGCATAAAAAAAAAAAAAAAACAGCTATATGCTATTTAGGAGCTCTGGTAGTGTCGTGCCTAAGGCACTTGACTGCTAAGCAGAAGGCTGGTGGTTCAAACCCACCAGCCACTCTTCAGAACAAAGGTTGGACAATCTACTTTCATAGTGATACTGCCTCAGAAACCCAAGGAGGGGTCGCTATGAGTTGGGTCCGACTCGATGGCACATAACAACATACGCTATTTATTTTATATATTAGGGACACTCCTAAAACAAGACCATAAAGGATGAGAGTAAAAGCAAAGGAAAATTATGTATAGTACCATGCTAACCAAAAGCAAACATTAACAAAACTTCAAAGGGAAATGGACAAATCTAATGTTTTATCAGAAGAGTTTAGCATACATCATTGATCAAGCAGACAAAATTAAGATGTACATCAATAATAAATATAAAAAAATGGTCATACATAGAACACTTTCCAGTCAGAGTGTACACTAAATGGACACTTGGAAAACATTTTTTTTAATTGACCACATACTAGTGCCTAAAGCAAGATTCAACAAATTATAGGCAATGAAAAATGACTGGGAGTGCATCTCAGCCATTCACCAGCTGTGTGACCTTGGGCAAGTTATTAAACTGTATGCTTATT